AGCTGGAATTATGGAATGGTGGGATGCGGCCGTGGGTTTTTGGTTTATTAGGGTAAAATAATATATATTGGAATGGTGGTGGCTGCCACGGTTTTTAGGTGTCTTAGGGTGAATAAATGGTTTTTTTTTTTGATGGATGCTGCGGCTGTTTGGTGGATAATTAGGGTGCCAAAGTGTGGGGGGGCCACGGCTTAGAAGAATGGGATGGTGGCTTTTGGTAAATAGGGTTATTAGGCTTATGGTGGCTGCAGCACAAGGGAAAAGGTGGAGATAAATGGATTTGATCAATTAAATGGATGGGAATGTGACGGCTAGAGAAGGAATTAGGGTGGTGGCTGAAAATATGAATTAAAGTGAATCAATTAGGTCGGCTAGGGTGAAATAAAAGGGTGAAAATCTGAGATTGTTGTGGGGTGACGGCTAGGGTTAGGTTAGGGTGAAGGAAATAGGGTTTAAGTGAATGATTTTGGACACAAATGCCCCCCCCTTGCACGGCAAGGGAAGGGGAGAAAATAAAAGGGCACGGCAAAGGGTTACAAAGTGGCTAGGGCCTTTGTTTTGTGTCCTAAAGCGCCTACAAGGACTTCAAAGTGGCTAGAAAATACGGACGTTTAAGATTAGGAAAGGTTACCAAAACGGGAAACTTAGGATTAACTTTCCTAAAATAGGAAACCTTGTTTGAGTAGGAATCCTCGTTTTGGTAAGAATTCATCGTTGGAGTAGGAATTCGTCATTTCTTCAAGTCTTCAACTCATTCATTCCTCTTTCGCTCCAAAAGACTCCAATTTGCATCTTCTTGCACACTTTGGCCTTATAATCTGAAAATACACAAAAGTAGCCTTAAACACTAAAATAGCTAAGTAAACACAACATAAATGCACGAGAACAAGCTAATTAAGTCGCATGAATATGCTCCTATCAGTCACCCTCACGTGACAGCCAGCACATCTCAACTCTGGTCGAGGTGTGTCAATTTGGCATCATAGCACTAGGTTAGGCAGTCCTGTATTTTTGTTTAAGCCTTAATTATTTTGATCTCTTATGTCAAAACCATGTCGCCTTGTAGAGAGCTACATACTTTTTCTGAGTCTAATTTTCCAGATATTGGACAACTTGGTGAAGCTATTGCTAATGCTATTCAGTCCTCACTTCGTCCTCCCTAGAAGACCCCTTTGGAAACGGTATATAACTTGAAGCTAAATAATTTCTTTGGCAATGAGGGGTCCGAGGGAGCTGAGTGTTGGCTTAACCATGTTGAGAAAACTTTTCGGGTGATGCAGCAACATGGAAATCTTTCTAAGGACAAATGGGTTGAGACAACCACTTGGTTCTTATGTGAGGAGGCTACATCATGGTGGAGACATGAATCTTTTCGATTGACAGCTGAAGATGCCACAAATTGGGAGATTTTCAAGCATCTATTTCAGAGGAGATTTATACCTCCAGAGTATTTGGATCATAAGAGAGAAGAATTCTTGAATCTGACACAGAGAAAAATGTCAGCCACTAAGTATCATTAAAAGTTCACTGATTTGTCCTGATATTGTCTAGAGATTGCTGCAAATCTTGCTAAGATGCTCCAACGTTTTAAGTGGGGTACTCGTAAGAAGTTGAGTTATTTGGCGATTTTGACTCCCTGTTCTACATATCAAGAATTTTTCGAGGTTCTACTTCGGGTTGAGGAGTCCGAGAATGCTCTAGATAATAATGATGAGGCGGAAGAAAAAGGTAATGCTTAGAAAAATAATACTAGTAAAGATAAAGGGCAATCATCCCACGGTCCTCGTAAGACACAAAATTTTAAACGAAGTCGTACTAGCTCTGGTTCATCTAGTGGTGGTTTGAGTTCTACTATGGCGCGAAGGGGCGGCCGGTCTTTAGGAGGTTCCCAATTTCAGAGACAAAGAGATTCTAATAGTTATGGTGCTCCACTTTGTCGAAGATGCAATAATCAGCCTTTTGGGAAGTGTAGACGAGGTAGCAGTGGATGTTTCATTTGCAGCCAGATGGGGCATCGGGCTAAGCAGTGCCTGCAGAATCAGCAAAAACCCCAGCCTCCTGCTTGGCCACCAGCAGTTCCCCTTCAACAGATTCAGGGGTCTAGTGGCTATACTCCGACAAGTTATAGTGGTGCTTACTATTATCAGGGAGATGTAGCTCAATATTCCAGATGAGCATACCAATATCCCGCAGAACCATATTATTAGGGTAGTTATCCACCATATCTGGGGGGCTATACGCAGTATGCGCCATATCAGGGCGGCGAATCGCAGTGGTATGCTAGAAGACAATCTCAGAACTTTGATGTTGCTTTTAGCAGTGTTGGTTCGACGAGGTAGCCTGATCAACCCAATCAAGGATGAGGTATTCAGGGACACGGTAATCATAGAAATAGAGGTCATGGAGGTTGGCAGCAGGCGCAGGGCTGTGTTCATCACATCACTCTACAAGATGCTTAGAGCAACCCTGATTTGATTATGGGTACGTTGAATATTCTTGGTTATTTTGCTAGAGTATTAATTGATTCTGGTGCTACACATTCTGTTATTTCTCATACGTTTGCTTAAAAGACTCAACCTTACCCCCTACCTCTCGGGTATGAGTTAGAGTTTTCGATACCTAGAGGTGAGACATGTTATGTTAGCTGGGAGTATCAGAGATGTCCTATTCTGGTGGAGGATGTTGTCATGCCAGCTAATCTTGTTCCTCTGGATATTGTTAGTTTCGATATTATTCTGGGCATGGATTGGTTACATTACAATCGTGCCAAGTGGGATTGTTATGAGAAGGTTGTCACTTTCCATCGGCTGGGCTTGCATGTGGTTACTTTTGTTGGCGAGTGTTGTGGATTGAGACAGGACATTATCTTGGCCGTAAAAGCGAAGAAACTATTAAGGAAAGGATGTTAGGGCTACCTAGCTCATGTGGTGCTGAACGAGGATACTTCTACTCATATGGAGGATGTTCGGGTAGTCAGGCATTTTCCTGACATATTTCCTGATGATTTGCCTAGATTACCACCAGATCATGAGGTGGAATTCGCTATAGATTTAATTCCAGGTACATATCCTATTTCTTTAACCGCTTACCAAATGGCTCCTACATAATAGAGAAAATTGAAAACCTAATTACAAGAATTGTTAATAAGGGTTTCATCCAGCCGAGTACTTCACCATGGGGAACTCCAGTTTTGTTTGTGTGAAAGAAAGACAGAACTCTGAGGCTGTGTATTGATTATCGACAGTTGAACCGGGTAACGATTAAAAATCGTTATCCATTGCTTTGTATTAATGATCTTTTTAACCAACTTCGAGGTGCTTGTGTGTTTTCAAAGATTGATCTGAGATCTGGGTATTATCAGTTGAAGATCAAGCGTGAGGATGTTCCAAAGACAGCGTTTCAGACTTGTTATGGCCATTTCGAGTTCCTTGTGATACTGTTGGGGTTAACAAATGCTTCAGCAACCTTTATGGACCTGATGAATAGGGTATTTTGCCCTTATCTCAAAAAGTTTGTTATTGTTTTCATCGATGATATTTTGGTACATTCTAAATCTAAGGCGGAGCATACTAGACATCTCACGCTGGTTCTGATGAAGTTAAAGGAACATCAGTTGTATGCTAAATTTAGTAAATGTCAATTTTGGTGATGCTTCCTTGAATGGCTTGGGTTGTGTGTTAATGCAGCATGGCAAGGTGATTGCTTATGCCTTGCGACAGTTAAAACCCCACGAAATGAATTATCCTACTCATGATCTTGAGTTGGCGGCCATTGTTTTTGCTTTGAAGATTTGGAGGCATTATCTTTATGGGGAAAATTGTAAGATTTTTACGGATCATAAAAGCCTCAAATACATTTTCACACAGAAAGATCTTAATCTCCAACAGTGGAGATAGATAGAATTGCTCAGTGATTACGACTACACGGTTGAGTATCATCCCGGTCGTCCGAACACAGTGGCAGATGCACTTAGAAAAAAATCACGCGGCCAAATTAATGCTCTACATGCATGTCGTATTCCTCTCCTCACTGAACCGAGATCTACTAGAGTTGATTTAGAAGTAGAAGATTGGGAAGAAGCCTTACTTGCTAGTTTTTTTAGTTAGACAAATCTTGATAGATCGTGTGCTCAAGGCTCAAATGAATGATGCAGAATCTTAGGAATTAGTTAAGGCAGTTTCAGATGGGAAAATGAAAGATGTCAGGATTAGGAATGCTAATGGTATGCTGATGCAGGGCGACCGAATGTTCGTGCCTAATGTCAAAGAATTAAAGAAAGATATACTTAATGAGGCTCATGTTTCGACTTATGCCATGCATCCTGGGAATACCAAGATGTATCATACTATTCAACCTTTCTATTATTGGCCTGGTATGAAAAGAGAGATTGCTAAATATATGAGTCGCTGTGCAGTATGTCAACAAGTCAAGGTAGAGAGGAAGAAACCTTTTGGGTTATTACAGCCACTTCTCGTCCTTCAGTGGAAATGGGAAGATAGTACAATGGATTTTGTGTACAAGTTACCTTGTACGCATAATGGTTATGAAGGTATTTGGGTGATAGTGGATCGACTCACCAAGTCGGCACACTTCATACCCGTTCAAGAAAATTATTTGTTGAATCAGTTGGTAGAATAGTTTATTTCAGAAATTGTTAACTATTATGGTGTCCTAGTGAGTATCATTTCTGATCGGGATCCTAGGTTCACTTCTAAATTTTGGGTAGCTTTCTAGGAAGCTTTTGGTTCAAGATTGCTCTACAGCACGGCTTATCGCCCTCAAACGGATAGGCAATTTGAGAGAACCATTCAGAGTTAGAAGATATGTTGAGAGCCTCGGTTTTGTAGTTTGGAGATGCTTAGCATAAGCGTTTAGCTTTGATCAAGTTTGCTTATAATAACAACTATCATTCTAGCATTGGCATGTCACGTTTTGAGGTGATATATGGTAAACCATGTCGGACTCCGTTATGTTGGTCTGAAGTTGGCAGAAGAGTGCTGATGGGCCCTGAGATTGTGGATGAGACTACGCAGAATATCCAAGTGATTAAAGCTAACCTGAAAGCGGCCCAGGATCGACAGAAGAGTATCACCGATAAGCATGCCACTGACAGAGTATATAAAGTTGGAGATTGGCTATTTCTAAAGTTATCTCCGTGAAAGGTAAGTTAAGTCCTCGGTATATTGAACCGTATCGATCACTAAGCGAGTTGGTGAAGTTGCTTACAGGGTCAAGCTACCTCTAGAGTTATCAAAGGTACATGACATTTTCCATGTATCTATGCTTCGTCACTATGTCTCTGATCCATTGCACGTTATCCCTCCTCAACCACTAGAGATTAACCCAGACTTGACTTATGATGAAGAGCCAGTGACGATTTTGGATTGGAAGGATAAGGTTCTCAGGAACAAGACTATGTGTATGGTGAAAGTTTTATGGAGGAATCATTCGGTCGAGGAAGCTACCTAGGAGACTGCAGAACATATGTGAGACCTGTATCCACGTCTGTTTTATGGTTATTGATACGTGTTGTTGTGTAGGAATTTTAGGGACGAAATTTTTTTAAGGGGGTAAAATGTGATGACCTGTCCCAATTGTCATTATAATTTTCTCTTCAAGTATGTGAGATGACGATTATGCCTTCGGTGGCTTAGTGACGTGGATGTACATATGCAGTTTTAAATAATCTTCCTCGCTATCGTAATTAAAACGTACTTGACGTCACGAGTGTGTCGATGCGAGTTAGGGTAGAATCCGAAAATGTTACGACGATTAAAGAATGAGTTAGGGTAGAAATATATTGTTGGGTTGACTATATTTTATTCACCAATCAATTAGTTCCTGTCATGTCTGAATTGTTATTTTCCTTAGGCTAATTGGACCCTAAAACTTTTTTTTTTTTTTCTTTTCTTTTTCTCATGCCAGCCCAATTAGGGCCTTACTTCTTTTCTTTTTGGCCAATCCATGACCACACACACATGTACACACACACACACACACACGTATCCCTCACCCTCTCCTTCTTTCTCGATTTTTCTTTCCGTCCGTACAACCATGAGACCACCACACTCAAACCATACTAAAACATCATGGATCGAGTCTTTGGACACTACCATCTTCTTCCTCACAGCCTCACGAACTCATCCACACCTTTGGTTCATCGAATGGTCATCGAAAACATATGAACCTAAAAGCTCTGACACGGTGGGTTTTTTAGGACATCGTGATCATGGGTGATTTGCACGATTTTAAGGCTTGGGATAGACTCAAAACAACTCCCTTAACATCTTGGAGTGAAATTGGAGTGGTTTGGACATCAAAACACACAGGTTCGTGAACTTGCAGAGTTGGCCAGAGGTATCGAAGGAAATTCCGACCATTTTCTGTTGGTTTAGGACCTCCAATAGGTATGGATGTGTTCTACTATTCATGGATGTGTTCTACTCTTCAAGACCTTCAAATCTATATACATTTCATGGATTTTGGTTGAGTATTGAAGAAGATATTGAATTTTGAAATTTTTTCAAAAACCGGCAAACCACATGGCGGCCGATGGGACTCCGGTGAGTCACTGGGGAAGAATGAGCATATTCCGTTAACTTTAACGGAATATTCTAACGGCATCAAGTAATTTTTACGGAATATTATATTAATTTAATAGAATATTCCTTAACGCCGTTAGGGGTTCCATCAGCATGCCAGGCACTTGCCTGCGTGTGGCCGTGCCTTGGCCAGCGCGTTTGATGTCCAAAATTTTTTCTAAAAATATGGGTGTGTTCGTGTTGTCAAGTAGATCATTTTGGTATATTCAACACCCCATTTGAGCAACGTATGAGAAATTATTCCTAAGGTTTGTATATGTGCTTTAAAATTTACGCAAAATTAGTTATTTCGCATATAGGTGAGATGTACCCCGATGACGAGCATGGACAAGAGAGATTGGGGGGCTATGATCCTACTACTTATTAGTGATTGGGCATTTGCTTTCTATATATCGTGGTTTCTAGAATATTTTAAAAATGATTTATGCTTTAAATGCCATGTCGAAAATGAGTTGCATTTTAAGTATTGCATTATTACTATAAAATCGTGAATGATATCGTTTGATGCTGCGGAGGCCCAATTAAGCTCCAAGTGAGTATATTGTGATGGTATTGGTTGCATTGCACATTGTTATGCATAGATGCATTTAGAGCTCATCATTGCTGCACCCCGGTGTTAGTGCTCCCTGATGTGAAATATTCTAACACTCAAATTAAACCCTCTTATTGACAATTGTAGTAAAGATGTAAGTAGGGATCGTTCTAGGCCGGAGATTAGCAGGGATTGCTAATCTAATAAAAGCTGACTCAAAGATACAAAACTAGGATTAAAAACACTTAAATAAACTCAAAGACTCTTAACTAAACTTGTATGACTCAAAACAACTTAAAATTCTCAAAACAGCACAAAACAATAAAAAAGACTCAAACTAGACTCTAGGACTTACTTTGGACGAAAATGGAATTAGTTTTGACTCAAAACACTTAAAAACACACAATAGGACATATTCTAACTAATTTGACACAACAAAGTAAAGGGGAATGGGTTTTTGACGAATTTAAAGTAAAAACAAGTAACTTAAAGACTTAAACAAAGTTTGGACGAATTTGAGTAAATGGATGGATGATTAGCTAGCTAGAGGATTCTTTTCCACACATGACACATTTGAACACAAATTGATTTCCAGTTGCTTTTTCAATAAACCATGAACCTCAACACCCCAAATTAATCGTGAGATCACTAATTAACCCTCAGATTTTCCTTAAGTCAATTGGATGGACAACGCATCGACAACCAAATTATTCTTCCCAAGTTCCCTACATGAACTGCGTAATAGAGACACAAGCAAAGATCATTAAATTTTGTGAAAATCATAAGCATTGACAAGGCATTTGTAACTATGACATCATGATACTCATGCCAGGAATTTAACTTAACATGATTTTGACAATCAACCTTTACTACTTGTGAATATAAGTTTGTAACGATTATGTGAAACTCCCTTATATTCTAGCATCAAATTCAAGCATGCAAACTAAGTAGGCCTCCTTAATCAACATACAAGAATAAGTTCTTAATCAAACGGTTAAGTAAATTGCATTCACAATTTATGAAATCACAACTGAAATTAATCAATTCATATCACAAATATAATTATGGTTTCAAAGTTTCCCCTAGCTAAAACAAGTTTAGCCTCTCATGTTCACAGCAAAACAAAGAAAACTTAAATTAAACATTGAAAACAAAAGATAGATTACACCTAAAAAAATTCCAACAATCCAACTTGAATGCAAAAACGTCCAATGTTGTTTCTCCTCTTCTTCTTCCTTGCTATGTTGCGGCACAAAGGTTTTAGGGTGTGAAAAGTGGGTTGTAGTGTGTTAGGGTGAATGATAGATGAGTGGCAGGGAGATATGGTGGAAGAAGAAGTGTGGAATGGCGTATGGAAGGTGATGAAGGCTGCGAGATGATGTGTAGAAGGATGAATGATGGCTGGTTGTGTATGTGAGTGAATAGTTGTGTGTATGGGTGCGACAAAGGGTATATATTTGAGGGAAAGGATCTTAACTTTAATTAAATGGTTTAGGAAAGAATTGGACCCCAAATCCTCAAGGAAAAGGAGAATTAAAGTCAAAATCCCAAGGGAAAAGGGATAGGAAACTTGCGGCAAAGAAGAATAGGAAAGGGAATATGGTTTCCCTTGCACGGCAAGGAAGGACAAAGGGTAAGGTGGGTGCGGCATCCCCCTTTGGCTGGGATTAAGGCTTCTAGAACTTGTATTTAAGTGTCCTAAATTAATTAGGGACCCTCTTTGGCAGTTGGAACTTATGTAGGAAAGATTTAGGGAAACAAAGTCAAAATAAGGAAGTTTGACTCATGTTTCCTTCTTTGTGGTTGATTTCTTTACTTCCAAATCTTGAATTAATTTCTTCCATCTCTATAGCAGATTCCTAGCCTCCTTTGGTCTTCAATTTCGTCCAACCACCTTGGTTCAAGCATATGCTATCCATTCCAAGTCCAAAACTGCTCCAAAATGCACCAAAATGCACTTTCTTGCTACTTTAGCCATTTGGACCTACAAACACACGAAAATAGCTCAAAATACTAAAATAACTATGAACTAACAACATAAATGTAAGAAAACAAGCTAACTAAGTTGCCTAAATATGCTCCTATCAAATTTCCCCACACTTAGCTTTTGCTAGTCCTCGAGCAAAACAAAACAAACAAAACACAATCTAGACCTTCCAACAATTGTCTCAGGGATTTCCAATGAACATGACATATTAAAAATCACTACTCACATAGATTTTAGCTCTCTTTACACTTGAGCAAACACTTAACCATAGTTACCACTTACTAGCTCACATTTAATCGATTAAAACAACATTTTGAATGTAGTAACATGCCTTAGAGAATTCCCTCAATTCCTTACTAGATATACTCTCTATTTTCACACAGATTTTCTGACTACACACCTTACACTAGGTATATGTGAGAAGATTGATGTAAACATGTAGACTAGCATTCATATATGTTATAACAAAGAAAGCATTTTCTAGAATTGTTACCATGACATGTATATGATCTCATGAATGGAATGCTACTACTTAGAATGAGAACCAGGGATTCCATATGCTCATACCAATTTCAAACTCCACATATTGAACACATAACATCAAGATAGAAGTCAAGGGGTTGTAATGAGGCTAAGGTATTGGCTAACAAAGAAAGGTAAAGGATAATCAAAGGTTCTTAAAGCAATACGAAGCAAAGTAACGAAATTAACACTTAAATTCACTTTTGAAGGCAAAAATTAACTTAACACAAGGGAAAGGTTCATACAACACTTAGGGTCAAATTCAAACTTTTGGACCATTTCTTCAACAACCAATACTTGTGAGTTCATTCTCACTTATTTCTTAACTCTTTTTCTTTCTTTCTTTTTTTCTTTGCCGTGCCCTTTTAAACTCCCCCACACTTGTTTTCTGCAATATGTAAGTCAAAAGGAATTCCTTCTAAGTCATGCTTCACTATCCTTTAAGAACAAGGGTATGGATAATCCTAATCTAGGCTAGGTGAGGATAATGTGGTTAACAAAGAAAACAGGCTAGATAAGGCTCAAAAGGGTTAATTCTACAATACATATGCAAAAGGGTTAGGCTTTTTGGCTTTGGTTTAACTAAACAACTTCATCTTATTGGATGTTATGCAATCAATATCATGCTTTGAATGAAATGGGCATAAGTTCTAGTATTTAGAACTATAATGATGAAACGCATTCTAAGTAGCAACCAAGCAAAGAAATGATGAGATCATGCAACGACTTTAGAAAACAAGAAATCACAGATTAATACTCTCCAAACAAAGTTTAGGCTCAAGTCTCTTGGGGTTGTAGCGTTAGTTTGAGTTCCTTCCTTCAAGCA